GATCTTTCGCGCGAGAACGATAAATTACGGTCGACTACTCTGTCTACTTTTTTCCCCGGTGTCCTCTCCATCTTCATCCAGCAGCTCGCCGTTTTTTTCTTCCTTTTTATATATCGCCCCAGACATCTCGGGCCAAGTTATAAGGTTCGTTTACGTAATAGCTATAACGTTCGTTCCTGCAACCTTCAACCTTTACCCGAAAAGGATCCGCGGGTAACTGTGATTCGTGACCGAGCAGACGAGACTCGTGGGACATAATGTGTATACCGATTCGTCGACTTGCGTCACTGAACTTTAATTAGGATGACGCTACTGGGCCATCGGTGAGGAAGAGTACGCCTATTATGACCCGAGTAACTCAATTTCTAATTTACTCATCCGCCAATAGGTCGTAAATATTTTTCTCAAATTCCACGTTCTACATAAACGACTACGTACATCTACCATATTTGGAAAATCGGAACAAAATTGATATTTCCTGTCAATGAGGAATGAGAAAATATGTTCTCCATATTTCACCGAATATTACATTCCTGAGGGAATAACCAGAAAATAACTATGTCACATATTTTCATTTTCAACCTGTTCAAAATTCCGAATACCGATTCCCCTTATTAACATTCCATTAAGTTGCATAATTTTTTTGAACGTGTACACTGTAATTCTATTCATCACTTTCTTAATTTACATGCAAAATTATGCATTTTGAAACCGAATTAATAGATCAACTAGAATTTTTTGAAACAGTGTCACGCGCTTTCTTCCTCCCAACCACGGTGTGGATATAATTCCGGTATCTCGCGTATAAGTCCCTGCAGGAGGCCCAAGAGGAAAAGTAGTTTCGTACATGTCCAAGAAATTCAATCACAGAAGTTTGAGACGCGGAGAAGAAAGGCTCGGTTGTCCCACGGTGCGCGAAGGAAACGTTTTCGCTCATTTTCCTGCACGGGGTCGCGCAACGAAATCACCTGTCGCAGAATGTCATTTGCATCCGCGTATGAACGTTATCCCGCGGCGGAGCGGAGAGCCGGCGATTTCTTGCCGGTACAAACGGTACAGGACCGATCTTTGTTATGGTAATTAGTAAAAGTACGCGAACCTTTTGTCGTACCGAGGCCGACAATAGTCCTATCATTTTTTCGCCGCATTCCTCCCCGGCTTTACCACGGTTACACGCGTTATTGCGTGGGTGGAGGGGTACAGCAGCGGATTGTGTCGCACGCGCTGCAAACTTTCTCTGGCTACGTGCTTCTTTTCGCGCATCGCGACGCGTGACACTGGCCTGCCCTGTTTAATTCATCGGCACGAGCCACGAGAAACCCGCCGCGTGGTTTGCAAATGGGCGAGGAAAATTTGCATACTCGCGAGATCATTTTATTATTCCATATTTTTTTCTCCTCTTCTTCCCGAGGAAGATCGAGGTGGAGCATCGAATGGAGGAGGAATTGCAAATGATCGAATGCATTTGGAATCGCGATTGAATTATTGCTCGAGTGTGGGCAGCAGTTTGAGAAACGAAGCACGTGTTTCGTGAGGCGGAGAATATTAAATTAGTACCTGAAGTTTGCTCAGGTTTGAGTAACGAGGAATCGAATCCATTTGGATTCACGATCGAGAGGATTTTGAGAAACGAAGCAGGTGTTTCTAGATCTCGAATTTCTTGATATCGAATTGCAGACTGATGCCTGAGTCTATCTGAATTCGCGATTGAGAGATAGTTGATGGAATAAATATCGTTCGCTTATCTGGTACCTGAATCTTCTCGGTGTCAGACCAAGAATAATCTTTGGAACTTGGGAACACGATTGGAACTTCGCTAGAGGGCGAAAGGAATTCCGAGGAGCGCGTGTTCGAAGAAACAAATACCGAATACTAGACTGGTAACTGAATCTTCCTGGATCTCGAATGATAAATAATTTTATGTACTTGGAATCACGATTGGAGCATCGATCGAATGCGAACGGAATAGCGAAGTATCCAGCTTATGCAATAGAAACCAAATACGAAAACTGGCAGCTGAAACTTTCAGTTTCAAACGATAAACCTGCTTAATTCCGAATGGGAATAATATTCGAAGGGGCAAGGAACTTAAAAGAGGCGTGGAAGAAAAATGTTGAGGACACGTCGAACAAAGAGACGTCCCGCGAACCTTCGTGGCTATAAATTAAAACTGTCTAAAAGAATAATTTGCTACCTTCTGTTTCAATAATCTTGAAAATTTATGCATACTCGTTTATTTGTCAAACGAGGCACTTAGGTAATGTGCCACGGCGTCTTCTAATCGTGTAGAGACACGACCGATAATAACAGAGCCTGACGTAACAGTTATTACCTTTCCTCGGCGTGAAACGATACTTGGTTGCTCGTTAAAACGATATATGCTAGAAACTTCCTATCATTTAATGCTTTCACCCCTACTGGAAACGCGATTTTCATTCAACCGAGCGATAAAGCTGCCGTAAAACGTCATACGCGTTATCACGTGTATCAATTCGTTTAACGGCAGGTGAATTGAAAAGTAACGTGGTGTCGCGCAAAAGCGAAGCTAAAACCGTGTTAACGCGGTTAATTTATGCCCGTTCCACTTGCCGAGTCGTTTAGTCCCCTTTTTCTTTTCACGCTGAAAATGATTTTCCTCTTACTCGTCACCATTTTAGCGAGTTACGACAAAAGCCTGATGGATGCGCCTAGACGTTTCTTTCTTCGTCTAATAAGCACCAGCATTAGCGACGCGAGAGGCAAGGATAATTAGAAAGCTGTATCCCCGAAGACGTTGCTCGCACTTTATTAGTACCAAAGACGCGTCTCCACTGTTATGTAACGCGCTATTTTTCCACCAATCGGGGTTCACCTAACCGATCATCTTGAGACCAGGGGTCGTCAGAAAGAGTCGAGTCGACCGAGGTTAAATCAATCGATAATAATACGATAAGAGGATGCTCGATCCGTGGAAAATTCGAAGCAATATTTCCGGAAAAACTGCGAGTGTCGAATGATGTCACGGATTTTATTTTGCAACGTTTCGAATCTCGACCAACTTGGAAAATTCGAAAATACGTAGACACTAAGAGACATTGATGAAATGTGGACACTGAAGAGGTAATAGGCGAAATATAATTACTGGAGATCATGGTACCAAAGGGGTACTTATTTAATTAGGATACCGAAGAGATTTCAAAGGTTACCACTGGTATGCAAACTCTGCCTCGAAGGATTAAAGAACCAGAATTACCAAAGAGGTATCGAAGACTCTGGAAAGTAGGATACCAAGAAGGTTATAATGGTACCACTGATACCTACTAGGAATTTGAATTTTTGGAGTTGATGAAATACAAATATCGAAGATAGGTATCAAAATATGGTAGCTACGCGTCTCAAAGGTACCACTGCCCTGCGAATTTTGTTCCGAGAGTCTCTGGTCTACACGAATAAAGAGTCAAGTAACCCGAAGCAATTGTAACCAGTTCTCTCTGTTACGACACAATTTTGCACCTCGAACATCGCGAACTGCTGACCCATAGACAACTGTTGTCACATTGGTTTCTCATTAGAACCGTCGACCTCTCTTCCGAGCGTATAATTTGCAGCTTTCTCTAGGTGCAAATAAAACGTTGATGAGACTGCCAAGATGCGGTTAATTGTTTGCACTATTCGCGCGAATATCTTATAAAACTTCGAGTAATTAATCATAGAGCGTCTTCTGTTCGTAACATAATTACTTCTGCGCGTTAGACGTTTCCTAACGTTAATGAATGTAACGTTATAAATCAGAACGTTAGCTGGCTGCTGTCTTAATGAACAACAACAAAATTGTTCGTAGTGCTCCCTGAGTAAAATTGGCTGTCATAAGCGATGGCATGATAACCTTATGGCATACTCGATATAAACGGTTTTGTTCCAACTAAACGTTTCCTATCTGTTACCTCTTTTACATAATAACAGTATTGTACGAAGCTTCCTCAGTCACGGATACCCTCTAGAGGTTAAGAAACCTCGATTTCGCAACCTACAGCAGAAGGATTCTGATTACAAAGGCAACTTCGATACTGAAAATTTGCAATATACACGAAATATCAGGAAAATATCGAATAGGGAAGACAGACTATGGTCGATACTTTAATAACTCGAGAATAATCCTAATCTAAATTAAAGCTCTTTTTGGAAATAATTGGAAACCTCGTGGAAATCTGCCTCGAAGTCAAGGATTCGCTGATTAGCGAGAAGACTGAAAGGAAAACGTGAGATCTGTAAATTTCTCAAGAATCGGTAACCTTGCGATCTGTATCGGTTGTTCCGCAAATCGAGTCGTCGTGACACCACTTATACATCAGAATCCTTTCACATACTGGCGAAAGACACCGGAGGAGGTTCTCTCCATATAGCCCGCGTGATTCTCCTATATAAATTATGTGCCTAAAGGTCACTGGACGTTTCTTCGAGCCAGAACCATCATTCGTAGCAGCGTATACGATGTCGCAAACGGATAAGTTGGTCTTAATTTCTGGGCAACGAGACTTCCCTCGCATCAGCTTCGTCTGATTTATGACGCTAGTTCTGTCGGCGAAAGATAATTGCGTTCGATGGTTGCGTCGTGCAGTCCGTTCGTTCGGCGAAGTCGAATGAAACGTCATTTGCTTAAAAAGAGGGAATATGTACACGTACAATGTACAGGATACGGCGATAAATACTCTTCGACGATGTTAAGTCCCGCGTGGGATATTAATTGTATTGTATCGAATGTACCGGATAAATATGCACGGATTCAACGTGGAACTAATTAGCGACAGGAAGGAGATAAAAGTCGCGACACGGGTAAACGCGATGGACGGAGATGCACGTGTGAAGCGTAACGCGTGGTAGTACGCCGAGTTACGATGTAGAAGGCATGGCGGTTCGATGAAAGATATTGGCAAGTATTATATTCGCGGGGACGATTCGGCGTAGTATCGGCAAAAAGCTCCAAGTGACACGGGTTTACAAGATAAAGCGTGTAGCGATCAATGAATGTACCATACGCCGCGTCCAACACGGATGAACCTTTCACGACCATTGGTGTATCATACAAGGTGCCTCGTAGCGAAGACAGGTTATGTAAGTTCTTAGCCGAGGCGTGAGATAATCCCACGGAGACGATCTTCGGTACGTTATAACCGATTACGTGGCGATCCGTGACCTAATATATTTCGAATCCATTGGGTTTAGTAGTCGAGGTCATTGTGGCATATTTGCCTTTCCGAATGAAAGCTATGTGGATATGTAATGGGAAAATGTTTGGTTTGTAGAGGAGGTAATAACGAGATCCATTTTTTCTTTTTGTCCAGCGAATCTTGTGGATTGCCACGATAGTGGCAGCGCTCTCCACACACCATGCGCAAGCATCGAGTGAGAAGAGCAAAAGAGCCATAGCGAGCAATGGAGGCTACGTCTATGAGCCGCCAAATGAGATATTTACTCCATCACCGCGGTAAGAATCGATGAAAGCGTCGTAGTCGAAAAGATGCGAGACTATTTCCGCTATTACTCTAATACGCATAAAACTAATTTCGAATACAGTCATTGGTCATAAACACATCTTCTCTGCAGACCACCTTCAGGGTATCATTACTCACCACCCGATAGAGAGTTTACGTTACCAACCTTTCGACCATCGTATGAGACGACAACCACAAGACGAAGCGTAACGACTCCACAAATATATACAACGGGGTAGGACTAGATCAAAAATTGAAATAACCATACCGTTGAATATACTCTGTTGTTATTTCAACGAAAGTATAACGAAACATCGCGATTAAAATGATTAATCGTAAACATATTTTCTCGCAGATCGCATCGAACACCGCCGAGACCAACGATAGTAACTTCGCCACCAGGGACTCCAGGATATAATTATCCAACGCCTGATAAGCCATTCACGTTACCAACTCCGCAAACACAACCCCCTGGTTATACTTATCCATCGGAGCCAACCAGGCCACCATACGTACCACCTACTTCGTATACGCCAAGACCACCACCGCAAACTTACCCACCATCAAGACCTCCCTCACCACCACCGTATGTACCACCGAAGACAACAGCGCCACCACCACCTTACTCACCGCCAAGACCACCGACGTCACCGCCATATGTACCGCCAACTCGACCACCAAGACCTCCTCCAACGGGTTATACATATCCATCTCCGCCACATCCGCACACATTCCCTCCATACGAACCGACAAAAACACCACCACCTAGACCTCCGACTCCACCACCATATGTACCACCATCTCATCCGCCTAGACCTCCGACACCACCCCCGTATGTACCTCCTTCTCCACCACCAAAACCTCCAACACCACCGCCATACGTGCCTCCATCTCATCCACCACGACCTCCGACACCACCACCAACCAGACCAACTGGGTATACGTATACAGCACCACCATTTCCACCTACACTGCCTCCATATGTGCCACCAAAGACACCATCTCCTCCACCCAGACCTCCAAGTCCACCACCATATGTGCCTCCTTCTCCACCACCAAAACCTCCGACACCACCGCCATACGTACCTCCATCTCGTCCACCACGACCTCCGACACCACCACCAACCAGACCAACTGGGTATACGTATACAGCACCACCGTTCCCACCTACATTGCCTCCATATGTGCCACCAAAAACACCACCATCTCCACCACCAAGACCACCAACGCCACCGCCATATATACCTCCTTCTCATCCTCCAAGACCTCCTTCCCCACCTCCAAGACCACCAACGCCGCCACCGTATGTACCTCCATCTCCACCGCATACAACACCCGGTGGTTACACATATCCAACACCAACGCACCCACCTCCACCATATTTCCCTCCGTCACCACCGCAACCACCAAGAACGCCACATCCGCCAGGACCTCCGACTCGACCACCGTATCTACCTCCATCTCCTCCACAGCCACATACACGTCCACCATACGTGCCACCTCCGACACCACAACCACCGAAAACACCAGCACCGCCGAGTCCTTATCCACCGCATCCCCCGCAAACTCCAAGACCGCCTACCCCACCACGACCATCGGTGACACCTCCGCATCGACCACCTACTCCATACCTTCCTCCTGCGCCACCTTCACCACCGAGGCCACCAGGTCCACCACCATACGTACCACCTTCTCCACCTTCGCCACCAAGACCGCCAAGTCCGCCACCATATTTCCCACCTTCACCACCTTCGCCACCAAGGCCACCAAGTCCGCCACCATATGTCCCACCCTCTCCACCTTCGCCACCAAGACCACCAGGTCCGCCACCATATGTCCCACCCTCTCCACCTTCGCCACCAAGACCACCAGGTCCACCACCGTATGTACCACCTTCTCCACCTTCACCACCTAGACCACCAAGTCCGCCACCATATTTCCCACCCTCTCCACCTTCACCACCAAGACCACCGGGTCCTCCACCATACGTACCACCTTCTCCACCTGCACCACCAAGACCCCCAAGTCCACCACCATACGTGCCACCTTCTCCACCTTCGCCACCAAGGCCTCCAAGTCCGCCACCATACGTGCCACCTTCTCCACCTTCGCCACCAAGGCCTCCAGGTCCGCCACCATACGTGCCTCCTTCTCCACCTTCGCCACCAAGGCCTCCAGGTCCGCCACCATACGTGCCTCCTTCTCCACCTTCGCCACCAAGGCCTCCAGGTCCGCCACCATACGTGCCACCTTCTCCACCTTCGCCACCAAGGCCTCCAGGTCCGCCACCATACGTGCCTCCTTCTCCACCTTCGCCACCAAGGCCTCCAGGTCCGCCACCATACGTGCCTCCTTCTCCACCTTCGCCACCAAGGCCTCCAGGTCCGCCACCATACGTGCCACCTTCTCCACCTTCGCCACCAAGACCTCCAGGTCCGCCACCATACGTGCCACCTTCTCCACCTTCACCACCAAGGCCACCAAGCCCGCCTTCTCCACCTTCACCCCCAAGGCCACCAAGCCCACCCTCACCTCCAGGTTATCTGCCTCCTCCACCAGATCACCATCGAAAAACACCACCACCTCCACCACCACCCCCACCTACACATCCGACACCAACTCCTTTCACGAGACCATCGACGCAAGGCAACTCGTATTTACCTCCTGACCTTTCAACGAAATATACCCCCGGATATCCTACGCATTCCACGGTGACCCCGGGATATCCTACGCATTCCACGGTAACCCCGGGATATCCTACGCATTCCACGGTAACCCATGGATATCCTACGCCTTCCACGCTAACTCCCAGATATCCTACACCTTCTACGATAACCACTCATTCATATACCCCTTCCACCGGCCGACACACGACGTCGACAACCCCGTATAGACCAGATACGTCTATTACTCCGCATTACACGGTGCCGAGTACGCGACCTCCGCCATATCTTCCACCCTCTACGACCCCTCCGCCACGCGTCACGGTGACGCCACCGCCACCACCCACTCCGATCTACACCCTCGTGCCCACGTCGACCATTTACACTCCACCACCGACCGGTGATCCCGCGCCTCCACCTACTCTACCACCGACCACGAAGAGGCCCATCGGTTACTTCTACGCCGTGCCGGAGAATCCGCTCGAGTTGCCACCTTTCGTCCGATGAGGCGGCACAGTCTAGTTGAACTGACAATCGCAAACTATTTCTTTGCTCTTTCTTTGTAATTTTTATATGTATAGTACACGAAGCTATTTATGGATCACCATAGGAGACGATAAGCAATCGGTAATCGAGAATGGAAATTTTGAGAGTGATGGGGCAACCGGGGACTCGCCGGTTGCTCGTATCACGTGCGTGTATTTAGAACTGTAACTGTCATAAATGTAACAAATGTCACGATCGAACTCGCGTCGCGAAATAATCATAGAAGCACAATGGAAAACCGACGACGCCGCGTTGCGTTCGTGCGAGATCGATGATAAATCGAATATGAAAATGAAGAACCGGATGCACGGAGACCTCTGTGCACCTGTCACACGCATACGATAGAAGAAATAAAATTTGTATAAAAAGTAGCTGTAACACCGTGTTTTATTTCTGCCTGACAGTTAGACGTTCAAGTCGACCGTGGCAAACGAGATAATAATTTCTGATCACACGTTTGATCTTTCGCACTCGACGTTCACCGAAGATCGAAAACGACCTGACACCTAATTCGCCAGAGGGTACGCGGATTCACCTTTTCGCCTACGACGTCCTTTTCCCTCGTGAATATTAACTATTAACTACTCGAATAGTCCAAAGATATTTAACGCGAGTTAAGCAGAAAATATTTGATCATCGTGATCGATCGAAAATCCTTTCGCGCCGTCTCGATCATTATCACGGTGACACTCCTTCCGCGCGACAGGACCACGATAACGGCTCGTTCTCTTCGCCATTCGGTACAACACGATGACATTGACATTCTCTTCGAGTATCGTGCAATAATATTCGACTCGAGTCTGGTTGCGCGGTAAGTAGTCCATAACCTATCTCCTACTACCATAACGAGCCTCCCCCACGAACAAAGGAATTTTCTACGTTCATGATAGAATCCAACCAGTGAAAACTCCGTTGCGAGAAATGAGTGCTCGTTAGTTCTATATGGAGCTTCGAAAGAATACCGTCTCGTGTTCTTGCGACACAGGGCTTATAAAATCTGTCGTCTTCTGAGTCCAGACAGATTATCATTGATCTTGATCGACATCTTTGTCGATGATAGACTCGGTTACCGCGAGTCGTGACTATTTTAATCGCCTTACTGACGTCTCTTTCGACTCTTGGCTATATTAGATTATCTATATTCGTCCCTTTATATTTTTTCCAATATCGACAAAGACTCCAGTGATCCTCAAGTGTGTCAAAGTTGAATCGACTCGTCCTGAGGATGCCATATGGCGTCAACGAGTAATCGTACGGAATAAAAGCCGAAAGATTCGAGGAAAGGACATGCTCGAAACGGGAAGAAGGACCGTGATTAGTACCTCTCAGCTTGGACTCTATTCCGATCACGGCGATCGATATCACAGAAGTCGATACAGTTCCATCACGAGGAAACTTGCGATCGGAGTTATGGTGGTAGTGACAGTGATACTGGTAAGTACGGAGACACGATTATTTTGCTTCGTTTTTGAAAGGAAAGTTGCGCTCTGGATCCTTCTGACGGAAGGACGCCTCGTCGCACAGATTTAAACGCTTATTTACTTACAAATCGCGTCATTTACTTCTTATAAAACCAGTTTCTAGCTTTACGCGTTCTCGTTATAAAAATCCTCGTTACAGAATTTCTCGACCGATTCCGTTTCTCCATCCGCCAAGTTCAACGACTCCGCCTTCGTGATCACGGAACATCGCGTATCGATCATTAACAGTGCATTACGACGCACCTGCAACAAACGTTACGTGCAACTGCTCGCACGATAAATTTTTAACGAGATCCAAACCACGCGAATATTTCCGTAACTAATGTTTCTCGCGATGAATATTCATGTCCCGAATCGGTTCAATCGCGGCGGCCGAAGATGATTTCTAATTCCTAGAAAGCTAATTTTCATATCCTCGAAAGGCCCATGCGATAAGGTCGGCGTGATAAGCAATACGAAAGCTGAAACTGGTTTGGAATTAAATCGAGCGCCAATTAAACGGTCGAGGAGAAAGACCAGGCGTTTTGGTTGCTCGCGATGACAAAAGTTTCGTTAAGAGACGAGTTTTTATCCTTAATGAGGCGCCATTGTGGAGAACAATGGGCGCAATTACATCTCGCCAGTTTTCTCCCATGATTAATGCAACAGGCACGGTAGCGATGTTAAAAATCACAATTTCACCGCGAATCTCGGGGCGGAGGATTCGCATGCATGGGGAACCAAGCGTCGCGTAGGAGATTTCTGCGTGCTTCACATATAGGGCGTTAACTGTGTTTTGACACGAATTAAAAGATGCACTCGCGGGAACGCGTCTCCTGAGGCTTAATGAATGAACGAAATTGGAGGAGAAATGGTTCCGCCGCTCGCCAACCGATTCCACTGGAGTTTATTACAGAAAATATTAGGTTCGCCAGTGAGTGCAGTCTGATTTTTGCAATAGATAGTACTTTCTCGTTCCTCTAAATACACCGGTGTTTTCAATTATTTAGAAGATTAGAATTATATAGCTACTTTTAAAGTGGTAGAGAGGTATAGATCACGATTCGATGAAACTTTCTTCTATTTCGAAAATATTACTAGTATTTTATAGCAAAAGTACCGATATTATTTTTGACTAAACTAATGGTGCTATACCACAGGGATGATATCAGGGCAATTGAAATCCATACATCTGACATAATAGGGCAAGTTACGTTGGCACTCTCTCCTCGTCTTGTGCTGAATTATGCTAATTAACACTGATTCTATGTCTAGGTCACTGTTTTATCGTTCTACTCGACATAACTCTACCTGTAGATGTGACACACCTATTCCATGTAAAACTTCAGCTAGAAGCCTGACTAATAATTCAGAGACTGCTCGATGCTTCGATATTTTACACAATGGGGGGGCATTTGAAATTTTTTCGCGCTCGTCCACGTGCTCACGAGTCGACCTCTGCTATGATCAATCGTACCCAACATTCATCCTATCTAGATACGGTCAAACTCTGCTTTCGAATAATCGTTACGCTAAAAGAAATCCAGCATCCTTTCTAATTCTTCTGATAAATTTTCCTCCGTTTCTCTGACACAGGTTGGAATATTTCTCTACGACTTCGCATCCGCCTCGTCGGTGAACAGTAAATTAAATCAGGAAACGAAGCACATGTACATCCTGCAAAATGCTCTTAAGAAACCGTCGAACTTAACGAAAAAGTCGTTGAACAGTACCGTTTCGCCGGAAGTGAATAGAACGAGCTCCATTTACATTCAAGACCGCTTAGACAATGATAACTATGGGAATCCGTTCCTGTACGACGACACCGGTGCTCAGAAGGTAACCGATGCCGAGCTCAGGTCGCAGAACCTGGATAACTTCAAGCTGAGGAAGAGAGTGCTGAAATCGGTGGAAAGCAAGGTGGACGAGGCAGCTGAAGGGAAACAGCTGTTCGACAATCATGCAATTGTTTATCGCGTGAGACACAGGTAAACCATCGTTTGCCTTATTTCTGCACGAGATGGTATCGCGTCTCTTTTATAACGCGACGATGTAAAACGAGAGATCCGATTCGATTCCACGAGTCATTAGCGTGATAGGAGAGATGATTTACGACTCGTTTTATTTCGATCCTCGAGCCCCGAGATTTTCATGCGTGACAAGCTCGATGAAGGAAAATCGCGTATTTAATATCCAGTTGCGCAAGGTTTGCGAAATAGCTGGCCGTTTTTCAACGCCCACCGATTAATTATATTCGTCACATTTTTCCTTCGTTAAAGCACTTAATACCCGGCACACGCGTTTCTGGCTCGCGTTTCATGGAAATTTACGCGAGCTTATTATCTCAGCTCCATTATATCTGTGTACCGTGCTCGTTGCTCGTGCCTGCAGCCAGTAAAAAATCAACGTTGCAGCCCACGGTATGCAAATGCTCGAGAAACACTTTCTACTCTTCGGCAACGCTTCTTTCGACTCGAACGTGGCTCTATTATCGCCCGTTTGTTCTTGACGCGTATCGCGAAGATACGAGAAAAGCAATTAGGGATAGTTTAATTTCCATTTCGTTTCCCTTTTAAGGTCTCTCCGAACGAAATAGGGAAATTAATTGTTCGCGATTCGCGTTTAAAATGACTTTAAAATGCGAATGAACAGGCACAAGTACCCGGAATCGGAGGAAGACGAGAGTTCCGAGGAAAGTCGACCGACACCTTTCCACTGGGAGCTGAAAACGCCGCAGCCGACCTCGTTCAAACGCCCGAGGTACCCTCAGCTGACCCAGTACCGGTATCCACACGCGTCCAGAAATATCCAGGACATCATTAAATACCTGACGAGCGACGCTGACCTACCCAACAGAGGCATCAAGTTCACAGGCGTGTACGTGAACCCGAAGAAGTACGACCTGTACCCGGAAGCCGGAGAGATGATGTCCAATAGCGACCGATCTGAAGAGGAAGAAGGTTCTCCCTATCAGCTGAACGAGGACCCGTTTTATAGGTACAAACCGAAACACCCAGCTGACGTGAACCTGTTGGCCACGTCCAATGTCAGGTCAGTATATGTAAAATTTAATTGAAAATCTAAGCTTTGAACATTCGAAGATTCTGAGGCTATTTCATTTACTTGACATCGGATCTGAATTGTGACAGAGTATAGTATTCCTGATTCGATTTTCCAGATTTTCACCGACAGGTCTTCACAGATACAATTACGACGCCTATGGACGACCATCGAGTTATTATAAACCGACCTCGATGGAGTCCATGTACGAGAACCCGATGTCTTACCCGAGTAATTACGGGAAAAAGCGGAAGCCGCAGCCATTCAGCGTCATGTTGGACATTTACCCCATTACTGACATCGTGGAGCAGAATAAAAAGGGGAATAGACCGAAACAGGTGCCTATGGATGATTACGAGTTGAAGAGACCTCTTCAGTACAACAGAGGGCCGAAATTTTATCCTTCACCTCCTCAGTCGATGACGGGAATGCCTAACCAACCGATGACGGAGGAAGAAGAAAGACAGCAGATGATATTCCATTTGAATTTGTATCCGAGAAAGAAGAACAAAATGAGCAGGTGAGATGGGTGGTAGGAAAACCTATAAATTATTATTTTAACACTCCAATTGGGAGATGAAGAGTTAATTCGACGCCAATGGAAGTGGAAAATGAATGAACTTCCAGTGGAATCTTTAAGATTTCGAAAATTATGAAGAAACACTATTTCGAAGGAAAAAGAATTCTTCTGTTTTATTTATGGTAATTAAGTTTGTAAGTCTTTTGGTCTATCAGAAATTCGATAATTATTCGTGCAAAAGGAACGAATGGTATTTCTAACTATATAAATCGAATTCGATTTCAACGAATGGTTTAAGACGAGACGCGAAGGACATTTGCAGGCGTTTGAAGTGGACGAGTGCATAGAATTTCCCTGTATGCAAATTTCTAACCCACGCCGTGCACATTTCTCTATCGAGGACTCCCTTACGTTCGATTACGTAAAGATCGAGGATCGCTTTCGCGAGCGCCGCTAGATTTATTCGCCACCAGCGAAACGCGGCTTCCCTGCAGCGTATCGGTAGATCGTGGAATCGTTACAATAGCGATCGTGGCTTCGTTACACGTTAGGCTTATCCGCGGAATCGTCTGAAAGATCGGTAGTCCCGCGGAGAACTTTCACCGAACGCGTGTCGCGGATGAATGGAAAAATCGAGCGAAGACGATCGATGGCTCGTTAAGGAGGATCACGTGAAATGTCACAGGCTGAATTCGAGGCCTAAACGAGCTGTCGATTCGAGGATGGCCCCTCGTGAATTTACACGAACGATCCCGGCGAGGTTGTCTCGCGAAACGCTTAATAACGAACTTCATTGATCGTTAGCTAAAGAGGAATTCGTGTTTTCGCGATTGAAGATAAACGTAGGTATCGTCATCGTGCAATAATGAAAGTAACATTTATTCATCGACGAATTTAGATGAAAAATTATCCTCGACTTGATGGAGTCGTGGAAATAGTATGAAATAATATTCAAGGTTCGTTCCCCGATTTCAGATACGACGTCCTCCAGAGATCGGAATCCATGGCGCCAGACGAACGACGACAGTTCGTGGATAAAGTATGGTCGCCTTTGGAGACCATAGCCAAGCATTTGGCCGTGGAACAGTCGAAATTCATGGACACCGAGAAGCCTAACGACGCTGCTACCCGTTACCAGGAAACTCTCCTCGACAACAAAGACGAAGAGGCGAAACACGAAACGATCCATCCTCTGAAACAAAGTCTGGACGACGACCAGGAAGAGGCCATCACCGTTCTTTCTAACCATAAATCGAGCAACGAGGAGGATTACGCCAGCACCGAGAAATACGACTACGAAGCTCAGAGGATCGTGGCAACTACCACGGAGAGTGAATGCGACGACTGTGGCACTACCACGATTTCGAAAGTCACGAATGTCAATAAGACTAAAAGTAACGATGACTCAAAGGACATCGACACCGTCGAGGGATTCAAACAATTCAGCGACAGCGTTTCGTAAATGGGCCGAAAACGGAGGCATCCGTCTATGACAATGCGATGTAATAAATGGTAAAGAGGGCACGATTAATCGACAAGACTCTGAGGATAATGGAAACTCGTTACGACTGTTCGAACCACGCGACCATTGCATCGGCGTCTTCTGGAAATATATTATAATTTCTAATTTTATCTACGAGCGTAATCATTCGATGTTGTCTGAACTGGACAGTCATCAATCTCCTTGGGATTTCTTCGTATTCCCCATCAGATCGAATTATCTGCCGAGCTCCACCTCGCCTTGACATTTTCGTCGAGGGCGTTCGAGAGTCTCTCAAGATCTTGGCTGGTGCAATCGCGAGATATTCGTTGAACGCGATTGCCTAATAGGCCACGAGACCACGGTCTACAAAATTGGTATTCGTCGCCGCGTACACCGTCTAATGGACGGTCTCTAAAGGTGTACTATTATTTACGAGCCTCGCTATTACTCGGATATCGTGATTTAAATTCCAAAGATCATAAACTGTTGCTCCTCCATCGTAAACTTGCTTGCTTCAAATTTGCCCCCCGTCGACGAAGACAACCGGAGGATCAAAGAGATCGAAAACCTGTCTCGACTTTGTAAATTTGAATATCCCCGATTTAAATGTCCCTCTCTTTCGCTTCGTGGTATATGTAGAAAGAACAGAGAATTTTTCTTATAAACATAACTCAAATGTACAGTTTTTATTTCATCCTTAAATACTGCATATATTACAATAGCGCACGCGCATTTCTATGACAATGCCGCGTAACGTTTGTGAGTAAGATCCGTGTACAGTCTAAGAAATATACAATTCACGCGAGTTAGTTCAACTTAATACTAGGTAGTATCGCACTTTACACGTGTCCCTCTATTTTGGCACGAGCTTCCCGATCTTACGTTATAGCACCATTTCGTCGACTTCGTTGCACGATTTCCGCGACTTTCTCGATCGCACCGCGAGTAACTATAATACAAAATTCGCCCACGAGCATTCCTCCGTCCCCAGCGCGAAAATTGCACCATCGGTTGCTGGAAACGTTGCTACTCGTTGCATTCGCGAGTTCACCGGTTTCGATGGCATCGCGAGCTTTCGAAAATTTGCGAAATTTCCACCGCGAAAATTTCCTCGAACTCGTAATCCGGAAAAATAATTCCAAGTCGCCTATTAGCAAGTAATCCTACCGTATCTTTGAACTTTTAACGATCATGGTCGTCGTCGGATGCATTCGACTAATCGTTAGAGACTTTGAAAATTTTTGATTGAGAAATTTTCCAGCTGCTTAATAAAACGTCAACGCGAGGCGAAGCTTTCTTCTTCGCTTATTTTCGATAATACTTTTAAAAGATAAATTACCAGAATCTCGATATGGCATATTGGTTAAGGAGCATCGGAGCGATGCGGATGCTCGTCGATCGAAATCTCGATTCTGAGCTAGAGAAACCTTCCACGAGGCTCTTGAAAACGGAACAACTGAAGACCATCGCATCGTTCGATCAGCGATCTATATTTTCTCTCCCGAATCGAGCCTGAGTGCAACCGGCACTCGTTTATGTCCTGGAACCGAGAGTGCTTGGATGGTACAACGTAGTGTCCGCTCCCCATTCGTAAGGACCCTCGTGGGGACCTAGAGAAACCATGGTACCGGGTCCAAGGGTCGTGTGTGAAGTGGCACTGACCATTCCAGGACCGGAAGAGACGTAACTGAGAGGTGGCCTAGGCTGATCACGCAAACGGGCGTGCTTCACTTGTCTCTTGTATCTGGAAGGGTCAATTAACATCGTTAAACCACCTGTTACTTCCTTCTCGAAACTTTCGAACGATCAGAGACATTCGTCAAACGTAATATTCTATAATTACGGGTAAATCTAAAAAAGTCAGGTCGGGATTACTTTCACTTCAAACGAGAGTTTCGAAATCTCGAGGATACTCGAGGACTGTTGTCAATAGGACACTTCTAGAATCAACTGTGACACATTGGTCTTCGAGTGATATCTCTTCCCGATTGACATGTCTGTTCGTTAATGTAGAGAAAGTCGAGAGAATGAGGACTAAGAGGAATACTTACTTGGCGTGCATGCAGCAGAGAGCGCAACTAGAAATCACAGCAGCAATGCCAACGAGGACCGCAATGGCCAGCACCCACATCTGCGTCATCGAGGCGTCAGCCCTAGCCACCATAGCGGCGCAGTGCTGCACCTTCTCCACGTGGTACGTCCTGTAAACTTTCTTCAGCTCCTCGTTCTTCGGATCAGTCAGAAGAGCCTTCATTTCGTCCAAGTCGTACGCTTCCTTGCCGACCATCTGGAAGCAGGAACTGGTCGACGAGAAGTCCAAGGAATTGTCCTCCTTCGAATAAAACTGAGTGTCGTAAACGTTGACGCTAATCGGTAGTGACAAAGCCTGTTGCACCGACTTCTCAAAGTCTTCCAATGTCTTCCTCACTTCGACAGGTGGTTTCGAGAACACGAACTTCAACATGTCCCTGTCACGCAACAGGAATATCCTCAGGGTGATGTTCGTCTCTCTGCCTGGTGTCACGGAGTTGTTGGCCGAGATGATGATCTCCATATAACCATCGGCGTAGTTGGACATGGAACCTGTCGTTCTTAGCTCACCTGTCTGAGGATTCAGCGACAGATGGGAGGGAATCTCTCGTTTCGACATGGACGTGTCTACGAGAGAAGTGAACGAAGCTTTACCCATACTGTAGTTGATCGGTAGAGCGTCAGAGTCAGCGTCAAAGGCTTCCAAAGTGATCAGACTCGTGTCAATCGGGACGTTCAAACGGACACCTAGAGTGACGTTCTCTTTCTTGAATTTAGGCTTGTTGTCGTCTATATCCAGCACCTTAACGAGGACTTGCCTTTCGGATGGATCCTGTCTGTTGTACGGTTTGGGTATGATATCAGACTTCTTCGTAGAGAAAGGGAAGCACTTGACGGTTAATAAGTGACGATCAGCTGTCTCTCTATCTAGACGACCGTTCGATTTGATCACAGCTGAATTATTTTCGAGTCTCTCTACCAGGAACAGGCCAGCTTCGTTCCCATACACGATCGAGTAATCGATCATCCCATTTTCGTCGATGTCCTCGTCAATCGCCTCGATCACGCCGACTTTCGTCCCGACTGGATTCTCTTCGAGCACGGTCAATTCTATGGGAGGGCTGTCTAGGCTTCTCTTAAAGTGAGGTTTGTGATCGTCGATGTCGTTCACGATTACCTGAAGCACTCTGGTTGCCTGCTGAGGCGGACTTCCTAGATCCTGAGCTACCAATATCAACGTGTAACTGTCCTTCGCCTCTCTGTCCAACAATTTTCTCGTGGTTATCAGACCAGTCTCGCTGTTTATCTTGAAGGCACTCGCGTCTTTACCAAAGTTCCCGTCCTCTAAAAATTTAAAAGTAATCTTCCCGTTTGGTAAATTCGAGTCATCGGGGTCTGACGCGACCACTTGGAACACTGGACTCCCAATGGTGGAATTTTCGGATATATGAGCTACCTCTTCGAGGGTAGGTCTGATGAACAGTGGAACACCGTCGTTGCTAACTACGTCCCCGATGTACAGCGTCAAAATTACGTCCGAGTACAGCTCTGGCTCTCCGCCATCTTGAGCTCTGATTCTCATTATGTACGGCTCCGTTCTTCCTTTTCCCGTTAACGCCCTTGCCGAATAAATCTCCCCAGTCGTGTGGTTTATTTCAAACAACCCTAGAATTCGTGTACTCGATTACATTTGAAGGTAAAAGATAGCAAAGGAAGAACGTAAACGTTTCTCACCACTCGCTTCACCCTCGTCGATGATTTCATAGCTGATCACACCACCGTTGCCTTCGTCTGGGTCTGTGGCAGTAATGTTCACTACACTGACACCTGATGGAGCGTTCTCGGGTATCACTGCTGTGTAAGACTTCGTCGTGTTGGTGGCAATCTTCGAATTCAAAGATATTTCAATATCACACAGAAGAAAGGAAATATTTTAACATTCTAGTAAACTATACAAGAAGAAATTAATTTACCTGGATGTTCCCAGTTATCGGTTCTACCTCGAACATGTTCGAGTCTCCTCCAACTAGAGAATACCTCACCTCACCGTATCCTCTTCTAACTTCCTGCTCCGTATTAGAACTGTCCATGTCTGTAGCTTTGACGATCAACACGATCTTCGAAGGTTTCGCTGATTCTAGCACTGAAATTTTGTAATCGTTTTGAGTAAAGATAGGGCTATTATCGTTCGTGTCTTGCACCTCGACCATGACGTTGGCTTCGGACATTTTCCTCGTTATCTCGTAGTCCCTTGCCAAAGCTCGTACTTTAAACTGAATAAACTGGAAGATATTTAAGAAACGTTAAATCAGATCCAAGAAATCGTAGGAAATTTATTATAAACCATACAATTGGAATTCACCTTTTGATTGAGAGCTTCGTAATCCAGTCTCTTGCTCAGAACGACATTTCCACTTTGGACACCGACGTTGACGTAACCTTCGTCGTCATCTTCCCTCACCAACTCGAACCTTTGAACGGGATAGCCAGTGGTGGGTTCTTTGGCTGACAACATGAGCAAAGTGGTGCCAAGGGGTTGCTCCTCTGGCACGGATATTCTAATTGTCGGATTGTTGGGTGACCACCCTGGATTCGTGAAGGTTGGATTATCGTCGCTGTAAGCTTGAATATAGATCGTCACCTCGACCTTCGTAATCTGCTTCTCTTTATCGACAACGGCGTTCAGATCTTGCACTTGAACCGTGAGAATGACCACCGCTGCCACTTGATAATCCAGTACCCGATTTACCGTTATTAAACCGTTCGTTGAATTTATGCGAAACGCTGTTTTGTAGTCGTAAGGAGCTGTGTTTTTGAGAGCCACGCCTGTTTTGTCGACGGCTCTTATCGGTTCCACTAACGAGTATTCCAAATAAGCATCCGAGTCTGGATCCGTAGCTACTACCTTCAGCACAGGCTCGCCTGCTCGATAAATCTTAATAATTAGTATTGAATCGTTCTTCTGGGAAACCGGTAATTTTTCAAGATTAATTTCTGATTTACCAATAGCTGCCCTTTCCGACACGTAGACGAGATAGGTGGATTCGTTGAACATGGGTGGCTTGTTGTTCACGTCCACCATGTTCACCGTGACTGTAGTGGTAGCAGTTTCTCTAACGGGTGTACCAGAGTCTATAGCGTAAACTATCACTTCGTATTTCTCCCCACCAGTTTCCAAATCCAAACGAGCATCCGGGGAAACCGTGATGACCCCAGAACTGTAGAATCGGTAACAAATTTTAGCACTCGCCACTTAAGATATTCCAAATTTCTTAAAAGATCGTAGATCAACGAACATTGAATCGTTAAGGTTACGATTATTATTGCAGTATTAATTACCTGGAGTCGATTACAAAATTGTCCTTAGCACCGGAGGCAATGTGGTACTGCAGTAAGTTGTCCCTCCCGTCCGGGTCGTTTGCAACGACTCTGATAACTTCCGTCCCAGGAGAAGCGTTCTCCAGCAATCTTGCCCGATACGTGCTAGGTCCTGGCAAATTAGATTTGTAATTTCCTCGGAAGATGGGTTTCTGGTTTCCAGGTACCCCCACTCTGACAGACAGCTTCGCTTCAGAGGATAATGGCGGCGTTCCAGTATCCGTAGCGCGAATTACCAGCTCGTAGATTCCTCTTTCGGTATCGTCCGAACGCACTGCCTTCGCCATTGTTACTTCCCCGGTCTCCGAGTTTATCTGAGAGGAAAATGACAATCGATCTTCGACATGGAACATTTTCTACTTCGAATTTGCTTTGTATGTACGTTCTTTATTTATTAAAAGTATCTACGAGGTACCTTGAACACGTCGTTTGTCATGCTGTTATGCGAACCGGTAGAGTATGTCACTTTCCCATTTCCTTGCGCCGGACCATCGACGTCCGTTGCTCTGACAAACATCTGTGGATCGAAACTCGTGGCTCCTTCGCGAACCGTTCTCGTGTACTCGGTCTGTTCGAACACCGGTGCATTATCGTTAACGTCCTCCAGTTCTATGAGAATATTCACGGCAGACACTCTGCCGCCACCATCCTTGGCCTCCATCGTCAACGAATACGACTTCTGGACTTCGTAGTCCAACGCCTTCGCTACAGAGACCCCACCTGTCTTCGAATTGGTACTAAACTTGTCGGCACCAAACCCACGCAGGGTGTACGTCAATTCGCCGAAGGATCCACTGTCGTAGTCCTTCGCGAACACGTCGCCGAATCGCGTTCCTATCTCCGCATTCTCTGGCACGGATAATTTGAACACAGACTGAGAGAACTCTGGGCTGTGGTCGTTGGCATCCGTCAGCCGTACGTGGACTCTACTTGTGGCAACCTGAAATGATTTAAACGAAAGGTTAAATCCGTGCAAAGTCACGTAAGTTAGAAGTTACGTGCATAGGTATCTAGATTCTACGAATTTCATTTCCATCACTGGCCTTCCAGTGAAATAATTACAGGTCGTGATTCTTCGTGTCACGAGCAAAGGCAAAAAGAGAAAGAAAAAGAGAAAGAGGAATAAGGAATAAATCATCGTCGAGGAATCCGTACCACTTCGTTTGCAACCAGCGCAATAACTTCGAACCCGAGCTCCCTCTTCGCAGGATCATCCACGTCGTAGTCCAACACGTTGACGTCCTTCGCCTTGACCACAACTGGCACCCGACCTTGAGCATCTTCGGGACTGACAGCGAAAGCTTTGCTGATTCCAGGATACTCCGGGACATCTCTAAGCGCCAGCATGTACTTGGCGTTATCGCCGACATCTCCATCGCTCACTATCATATTTAATCCAGGCAGTGTGGTGTGTTTGCCAATATCCTCCGAGATGGTTATATCGAAATACTTCTCGTTGAAAACTGGCATCAGATCGTCCACGTCGGTGACGACGATAGTGACGACGGACGTGGCAGTGTCTGCCGGGATCTCGTTGTTGATCAGCTCCGTGGCTTTCACTTGGAACGTGTATATCCCGCCGTTCTGCAGGATCCTAGCATCCTCTCTATCCAGAGAGACATTCGTGGTAACCAGTTTGCCGACCGTCACGTCACCCTCTCTCGACACCTCGAGGTCGAAGTGGCCCGACTCGTCGTCTTCCAGAGTCAACAGCAGGGCCCTGGGCTCTCCCGTGTCACCGTCTCGCGCTCTCACAGTCAGGATCGTGTGACTAGCTGCTGTGTTCTCCGGAAGTGCCGCGCTGTACGGCGCGTTCAGGAACACGGGTGGCTGATCCTGAAAACGATCCATACATTTGCAACGTATCCCGGTGAAGCATCCGCGTAGCCGATCGGACGATCCGAGAAATAGAGGGATGTCGACTAACGACGTCCGCGGATCTCTGCGTTCGGCTACAGGTCGACGCGACTGATCCGGTTGTCTGGAATTAGTCGAAGCGATCGGGGCCCGTTACCTAACGGCGGATTTCGAGAACGATTAAAGCCGGCGCGTTAGAAGGAACGAAAACGTTTACCGTTCCGGTGAAAGTTATTTCGCGAACAACGCGTACGGATAATCGGACGTTCCGCGAACAGAGTCACTGGGTAACGGCGAGCGCGCCTTCCCGGTTACATTATCGCAAACGATCTTGCTAACCAATACGGAATGATCACACTGGATGTACAGTTACATCCTCGGTTACGGTCGAGACCCACTTACCTGAACATCGAGAACGTCCACGGCTACTGTTGCTCTGGCCTGTAACCTCTTGGAGACGTCGCTGGCACCGTCTACCGCCAGGAGGTTGATCAAGTACGAGTTTCTCCTCTCGTAGTCCAGCGACTTCGACAGGCTGATCTGCACGTCGTACTTTCCCTCTGCCAACTGGAAAAATCGTTCTTCGTTTACCCAATTCGTGATTGATCGTAAAACATAGACCATAAATAATAAACGACGAATAATAAATAAATAGATGATCGTTCGGTGGTAGAGGAAAAATATTCTCTACCTTTTCCGTAGAAACACTGAAGACCTCGCAGACGTCATCGTCCCTCGTCGCAGAGACGCATTCCACGTGAACATCCGCGTTCACGCCACCATCGCGGTCCGTGATCGTGATCGTGCCAGGAGGAACTAGGAGACCACCCACGTGTTTTTCCGTAGAAACACTGAAGACCTCGCAGACGTCATCGTCCCTCGTCGCAGAGACGCATTCCACATGAACATCCGCGTTCACGCCACCATCGCGGTCCGTAATCGTGATCGTGCCAGGAGGAACTAGGAGACCACCCACGTGCGCGCTTTCTGGCACTCTGGCCGCATAAGGCCTGCCATGGTACACTGGCGGGTTATCGTTCTCGTCCAGCACCGCTATCTCTCGTCGGAGGGACACGGTGTTGGGCTCCGATCCAGCGATGCCTTCGTCTAATAAAATAACAATCTTAACATCCACGTGCATACTCTCCCCGTGCTGCGTAACTTCGTTCCTTGTTGCTTCGTCGAGGAAGAAAGAAATAACGAAGCACGTTGCGACGCACACCGTGTAAATGTATACAACGAAACGGGAAGCGTCGCGCGATTATTTGGAAACTAAAATCGAAAGTGTAAAATTTCAACTTCCGGTTGCGTAACGTAGAAACGAAAATTCAACGAAATTTCATTGCATAATCGAGCATTTACCGTTCCACCGACGTGTCGTTCATCGAGCGCCCTACATATCGCGGATTATCCATTGATATTCCAGCGTAACACTGTAACGTGATACCAATAAAAGCAACGTAGTTACCCGTTATGCTGATGATGACTTCGATCAGGTCCTGAGTCTCCCTGTCCAGCGCCTTTCTCAGAACGACGACACCGCTGTCTCGATTCACGGTGAAGTACTCGCCGCTGATCGAGTAGTGCAGCTTCGAGCCTTCCGGATCTTCACCTTTGAGGGTGTAGACAGGTGCGCCGGGCGGAGTACCCTCCGACACGGCTAGCCTGGCCATGTCGCCACCCTGCACGAAATGCGGTGCCCTGTTGATCACCTGACCCCATGACGAAGACCACGTGGAGAGTGCGAGCAGTAGAATCGTCCACATCGTCAGCTGCGTGTCAGACAAATGAACCTACGTTAATCACGAGACCAAGTCTCGAAACCAGTCGCAGACCTCCAAGAAGCTTATAACGTTCGCGATTATGTTTCTAATCGCGGGTTCTTTAATTCCGACGAGACGTTCAACGTCGCGAATCCATTGTCTCGTGTGTTCAACGTGCGATTCAACCAGGCTAATTAACAATCACGAGGCTTTTCATTGATAAATACACGTGCGCCGAGCTGTCATTAGCATCACCGGCTGACGTCGCGTTCGCGGAACAGTGGTTACTCGCGGGACAATTACACGGCCGGATTAGAAAGTGGACTGAAAGATGAAAATGTTGGGTGTAACGAGAACAATTCCACCTCTGGATTGGAACTTTCATTAGGACAAATTGGAACAAGAAGTTTTACGTATAAAAGTGCGCTCTCTCTTGCGTGACAGGCGAACGCTTCCTGCAGCGTGGTCCGTCACGATTCCGTTCACTTCCGGTCATCGAAACCGGCGTAACTCGTATAGTAATTGCGCCGCGTGGAACGGCCGTGTAAGAAGAAAACGGCGAATAATTTACGACGAAACGATCGCGGATGTATCCGGCGAATAAAAGCTGCGCGGCAAAAAATCCTTGACAAATTGCCAAAAAATGGGAACGATAAATCCGAGTAACGCGATGAGCGTCGTATCAACGGGGAATCTCTGGATTGAAATATCGTTTCCAATATTTCACCGTTCCGAGAAAAACGCTCAACGCTCGAACGTACACATCCATGTATTTTCATTACGAGACCATTCACTTTCCATCCAGGGAACAATTAATTACGCGGCTAACACGCATCACTCGGCGTACAGCTCGATCAATGTCCACGGCGCGGAAAGAAAGCACGGGGAGGAAGGTAAACGATAGGCGAGACCGAGAGGCGTCTAAAATAAGCGTCCGCCGGTTCGTCGTTGGGATCAACGATCGCGTGTGGCTTGTCGGAAAAATGCGGGAACAGACGAGTGGGCAGGCGAAGGAAATGGCTAAACAGTGCGGAGGATGCAGCGATCTATCGGAGCCACCGGTTTCCAAGCGGTATAAACCGCGGCACCGAGCCAGCCGCGTTCTTTCCGCGGCGTTCAAGAAAAATCGCTTGAGGCGAACCACCAGCGGTGCACGCCGACTTGGCCACCGCGTACGGTGCCTCAATGACTTCCAGCGGGTAAGCTCGGTCAGTGAAAAGCCGTTAGAAATCAGATTCCATTTCAGGAGTTCGCGGAACCCGAGTCCCGCGATCCGTAAATTGAATTGTCCTGTTAGCCTGTTCCACGAACATTTATCTACGCCTTGACCAGTCCTTTTTTCCATCGACCTCGTCTTGTGAGGTACGGTGCAGTTTCGCCTTGCCGCGCGAGCAGGTAGCTTTTATGGCAGATCGTCTCGATAGTGAACGAAATTGTTCGAGTAGCGAGTTTAGGCGGTACTGTATTAGGGTGGTCAACGAGTGTCGGGTTCTTACTGTGGATTCTCTTGTTTCTCGGTCTGAAGAAGAGGTCTAGACTCGTTGAATATAATAGTCTCTACAGTGGTAAAAGCTTATAGCTAAGAGCTATTTCGAAGAACACATTCATTTTACTTTTCGGTCAAATTAGTAAAATAAAAATTAGGTTTGCGACAAATACAGATCTTCGTGAGTTCTCAATGGCAAGTACAAGTGCACCTTGAGGAGAATTTGTTGAAGTACTACAAATCTCTTAGAGGTCTCCAGTATGTTCAAATACAGCTAAACGAAGATAAATATATAACTATATCCTATTATATTACTATTTCATACATTTCTATTATATCTGAATGTTAAAACTAATATAATATTTATTTATGTGTAATTAACACAAATCCTATGGCCTACATGACCGTTCTAAAAACTGTCATTAACACTAGGTCTACGGACGCTATCTGTATACCTATTTCTAAGGACACCTGTCAAATTGACAGGTAAAGGAAACCACGTGCCATTTTTCTTAACGATTAGTTTGATTTAAAGGCAATTAAATATTATATTAACAGTCATGATATAAGTTAACTATATCTGTTACCATCGTATAATTGGAGTAACCCTTCCGTCAAATTGACGGGTTAAATTCCGTAAATTTAGAAATTAAAGATTCCGCATTCAACGTCATCGTCATGGTTATCATTAGCCCTCGCGATTTTTCTTCCCAAATACTTGATCAATTTTACTTTATCCCTCGTTATTCCATTTTTCCAAAGTTTCACTTCGCTTCCATTCACCGATCATTGGACCACGGTTTTTCCTCGAACCGCGAAATTACGCGTTTCCATGGCAACCGGTGTTCTACGAACCTACAAGAAATTGCATTCCAGTGCCGGGCACCGAGGACTATAAGTACCCTACAAGGGTCGCTAAAGTCTCTAGGATTAAAATTGGAATAAGTCGTGCAAGACCTAGTGCCAGAGAATGTAGTGACCTCGATCTTCGTGTACCAGAGTACATGCATCGTGCGATTAGATCTTTCTTCGCGGAAGGCAATGTTCTGGGCCCGCAGTTTTTGCCAGTGCAAACGAGAAGTAACGTTTCAAGTGCGGTTTCAAGATCAGGACGCGAAATTTCACGGGCCAATGGGCAACGTATTAGCGTTACGCGGACTGTTACGATCCGAGACGGTAACTTTCTAGTAGAGCCTCCAGACAGATGCCGAACAAGAGTCTTGCACAACGGCATCAGGCCGGGATAAACGCAGAGCGCGTACAGCGTTATTCTCTCTCCGTCATAACTCTCACTCGAGGCAGCAGTTCGCGCGGAATCAAAACCACTCGACCAACTGCATTTCTCTTCTGTGCTTAAATCGAACTGCTGCGATATCTAGACCGTGTTATCGTTGAATTCAGAAGCCAAGTATGTGGAGCAACGCGCTGAATCGTGCAGTTGATACGCTCGTACACGAAAGTATTCGAACGTACGTATATTGCGTTTAACGAGTAAAATATGCAGGTTAAGCCGAGGTGATTAAAGCAGTGCGATAAGTATCTGGTAGTAAGGAAAAACGATGCTTGTCACTATTGCGAAAAAATTCTAGTCTATTCGTTAATTGGCGCGCGAAATATTACGTATCTATTAAAAAAGGAAATAGTTCGTAGAAAGGGATCTCAAATGGTGGAAAAGATTATGCGATTTTACTAAAATCTGATAGACGGAATTGTTCTTTAGAAATTTCAATAGCAGTACCTCGAAAGTAGATATAAGTTGTATGTAGTATTTTTCTTTACTGCACATGTATGTATATAGCAAAGTGCAAGTGAAAATTAGAAAATAATTCGTATTCTTACTTAAATTGTGTATACACGATAATAGCAGGAAATATAGTTAATTGGAAAATAACAAGTTTCGATAACCTTAAAACGAATCTACGCTGAACACACTAGCGCCGCCACGGTCTGAATCTACAGATTAGTGGATGCAGAGTTTAAATATGGTATTATATAATTGAATTATTTTCTAATTTTGTTGATAGAATCTTGGGATATTTTTCTTTAGCAATAAACACAATTATTGTTTCTGAAATTTCGCTTCATCGTAAATATTTAATTTTTTAAGCATCTCGATGGATACGTGGACTCTAAGACTTTCGCGTCCGACTGCAACTTAACGAAGCATTTGAGACACCTGTGAGATCAAACCTATTAATTGATCTTGATTAAGGTTTAATCGTTACTTATCGAGCCGGACTTATCGTTGCGTAATATCGAGACTGGATTATACGTTTGTAGAACTTTCAATGAGGTTTGTTTCGAAAGTAATACGTGGGAAACGATCGTCCTGCGAAGGGGAACGAGCAGCCACTGCGGAGGACAGTAGTCTAGCGATTTTCCGGTGACTTCGTGCCACTGGTTGACTTCCGTGTTCAGAAGGTTGTTATCAAGTATTGTCTTCGGCCAACCTAATTATTAATCATGTGAAGCTACCAGAGATTCTGTAAGAGCGCAGGAAATTTGTTAGGAATACCAGTTCTCACGATTCCAACATCCACTTCGACTGTCTGCAAACAACCACGACGATACCAGAATTACTACAAATCTGGCTCACATCTAACCTCCTTTTCTCACCGAGACACGAATCATGAAATATATGAAAAACCTGATCACTGAAAATTCGAAAATTACCAACGACAAATATTTTTCAAATAGAAAAATACCTATAGCGATAATGAAAATAATGAAATTAATTTCCCGCTGCGATGCACACTGCGCCACATTCGACCTAGTAATAATCAGTAAAAGTATTACACAGCGCGCATTACGCCATTTATCTGCGAATGGTTAATACCAAGAGAATAGCTATAGAAAGCAAGAGAATACCTATAGAAACGCCGTGGAGTAATATTTACGTACTTTCCACCAAGTTCCCAAGGATGGATGCAAAAAGCCATTGAAGACGAATCGTCAACGAGACATTCAAGAAAGTCTACGTAAGCCGCTTAAATAGAATCCGCAATAACAACCATACTCTAGGTGTTTCGACGCGGGCAGGATTTCTATCGCGAAGACGTGCAACGCGGAAAAGCATGAAGCGTTAAAACCCATGACGGACAGTGTACCCTTCGGTGTGTACGCGGATGCCCGGGCCCGAAGCAAGAAACCTAACAGCAGAATGGCAATTATCAGCGGCCAAACGTAAAGCGATACTGCTAGATTAAGCGATGGATTGAATCGCGAACCAGGAAGAAATTCACGGATCCCGCTTCCACGATTCACCATGAACGAAGCATAAAATACGGCACAGAGTGCCGGCAGAAATAATGGTAAACGGAACTTTGCCATTATTCACCATTGCGCGCCGAACGATCACGAGCCGCGACATTCTTGCCACGCGTAATTCTTCGCTGCCAGAATCCCGTGCGTTTCGCGTGCGAGCGAATTATTCAAAGTTATGGAACCAGTATGAAGGAACCAAAGGTGAATAACATCGCGACCGGCTAATGATGACATAAAATTACTCGAACAGAAATATCGACACGCTCTATTTAATAATAGACGATAACAGTTGCCATTATCCGTAACGTCGAACAAAGTGGAGTTCGTGACGCTGTCTTGTATCTCTTATGAATTACTTGATGGTAACTGTCGCGGTACATGCAATTTGCTGTTCAAAGTTTAACTGGTCGTGCGTCGGTATGCGAGTCACGGTGATTGAAAATGTGCGCGAGGTAACGAGATGAAAAGCATTCTGGGCGCCCTAATTTCGAAATAAAAGTGGTCGTTATCTTCAATCAATTTCAAACGACCAAATTGCACCGTTTAAACGGGTGGCAGAAAGACCGCCTCGCTGTTTTATCGACGGAGCGCCGATACATACCGCAGGGGGAAATTTTGCTCCTCCGTGGTGACATTTTTATTAAACCAATTCTCCAAATACGTAAATAAGTCCACGTGTACGTGCACTTTGATATTATTAATGCCATTTCGTTATTTGGGTCGGAGTCGTTGAACGCAGAGACGTCTTATCTCTAAATAAAACGGCAGTTACCGGCAATCAAGGTTGAAATGGTACCCCGAAATTGAATGATGAACCAAACTGCTTGACAACGAGAATTGCATCTACTCCGTTCTTTCACAGCGAAGTTTCCAACGAGAAATTAATTCGGACGAAAAAGAAAGGTGAAACGAGTTAATCGCTACTCTTGGCTAGAACGATTCTTCACGAATAGTCCACCGTCTTAAGCGCATAATCACGACATTGTATAATCGATACAGCAGCGAATAATAACGTTAAATTAAGTTCGATTTCATAGGCTGTTGTTCGATCAACAAGGAAACCGGTTTCGTCACCGGCTAAACGTATTTCGCCATTTATTACGCGCCGCGACGCTCCGCGCAGGAATTAATTTCCGCGCTATCTGATGGAAAGCTTTTCTCCTTTGCGCCGGGTTGCGTCCGCTTCCGCAACCCGTTTCCCGGAGAATAAAACCCGTCACGATGAAATTGCCGTGCAACCGTGATGCGACGCGATAGAATTCGCTGAAGTAACACGCGGCAAAATGTGTCACGGTATTATTTTTCTTCCGGACCAGGTGCTCGTTCGAGTGCGCGTACTCGAAACCCGGCGGTGAAACTCGAATGCATTAGTCGGTCGTTCGATAAATTATTTCCCATTCGAGATCGATCGCGGAAAAGATAATTCGGCGCTCGTTGCGTTGCTTCGATCGCAACAACGCGAATTAAAAACTTCGTTGTTTATACAAGCTGGTTCGGAATTAACGTTAACGATTGGGTAACGATTGTTTGGAAATTTTGGTGCATTTGGGTCGATGGAAGAGAACATCCTCGCTTGTAACAAAGCGTGCAGAAGAGCCTCAATTTCGAGCAAGTCGTTTCGAAACGAGATATCGAACGGGAACGATTTCATGATCGTTTCGAAATTGGTTTCCGTTTAATTGGTTTCCATTTAGATCGATTTCGAAATGGTAAACTTGCGCACGTCGTCGAGCCTTGTTTGCGATAACACGAGTAACAGGTGACAATTTTTATACAGGTTGGCTCAAAAGAAAAATCATCAACGACTTTGTGATCATCTAAAAATCGATTCCAGAAACGTTGCTTCGAAATAAATATTAATAACAACTTCGTAATCACTTAGGAATTATTTTATGATTATTCGTGACACAGCTTCGTTAGCAACAGTACAAACAAGATGTACTGGTTACAGGCTGTTTCAAAATAAACGTCAACACCGACTTGGCGATAGTTTGAAAAGTATTATCCGCATAACTTGATCTCAGAAGCGACACTTGACATTCATAGCGTCACCTCGTTCGCAGCACGCAGAAAATACACCTGACGTCATACTATCTCCCGTGAAACAAATTTTTAATTCGACTTCAAGAACTGACCGCAGACAAAACACGGTGACATCGGTACACCAACGAAACCAGGCTTCCAGAAACCTTGAATCCTGAACAAACGTTTACCCGGTCTCTCGTAACCCTTTATTCTCGAGCGACGACTCTTGGTCACCATTTGTTTCAATACCTCGAAGCTTGAGCAACAATTCTACACGTCCATTCAAAAGCTATCTGAAAAATGCAAGAAAAGCTTGGAGTCGATCTATCTTCGAGCGAGAACGGTTGAATTTCACGCGCTGCGATCTCTGAAGCACCCTGTACATCCCCGACAATGCAGAAATTAGCAAAGTCCACAGCCGGCACGACGGCGTATTGCGTACCTTGCACGTTCTCGCCTTTACCGCGAATTTCCCAGAGAATTCCTCCGCAAATAAGTTACCTACATTCCCGGTCCGTTGACCCAGATGCAACCGTAAACCCGCTTGCCAAGCACTCGCGATTCGTAATCGTTTCTGGATACCGGACAGCGCGTATTTCGAAACGCGTCCCTTATGAAATTTCGCGGGCCGTCATGGCGGCGTTGAGGCTGGCGGCATTGGCGTAGGACCGGATCTCTTTAGCCGCAGAGTGTGCCAGCCAGGCACGCAGGCATCCGCGATACCGATTTTCTCTTCGACCGCACGAAAAGCAAACGAGTACGCGCGGTTAACTGTTCCGTGCTGGTCGTACGAGTCCCGACGTCCTAGACTCGTTAATCGCCTCGAAAGGAGAGGAGGGAACTCTCAGGCCAGAAAAGCGAGAGGAAGACGGAGCAGCCGGAGCGAGGAGGAAAAAAAACCGTTATGGAAGCCCCCTCTACGATCCACGCCATTACGTTACGCGCCTGGAATCCTGACACTGTGTGACCAGGTGATGCCAGGATGAATGACTAAGAAAAGTGGTACCGGATGGTTCCTGCCACGCGCTTCATTCTCATCCGGCTTCGGATTTTTCTTATCATCGTGGCCACTGATCCAGGTAACAGGATGCAGACCTCGCAGACGCGTCGCTCGGGCCTGTTTTTCGCGGATAGATGATGGCAGTCGCCTTGGACCGGGCGGTAGGTATACAGTGAGTCGCGTCGTGGAATTCGAGAGATAATTTCAGGGTCCTTGGCAGAGGGAAGAGTTTGCGGTTCGCATGGACGGTTTGTCGCGTTGCGATGAACTTTCTGGAGAAACGGGAAGAAGTTTAAGAGCGCGCAAATATTTGCGTAACGCGTGTGTCGGTTGGCAGAGTTCGCGTGAGAGATAGGGATTCCAAGGTGGCTGAGAGGCCCAACTTGCATGCCTTCTCCTCCTCTACGCAAGTCCGAGAAAGCTATCGATCGTTGGAAAGACTGTAAAAGGACCTTGATTCCGGCTGGGAAATTTGCCGATTAATCTCCAGCGTGCGAGAACGTCGCAGCTTTTCCTGCTCCACGAACTTGACACCGGTTCCTTGAAACCACGACTTCGACCAGTGCACCCGCCGGTCAGACTGGTTTCCCTCGGACTGGCGAAAACGATGACGATAGTTCGGCATAGTTTGTCACTACGCTGTTATTTCCCGAGCGAGGAATGCGCAAAAACCCGAGTGTCCTTAACGAATATACACGCGTACGCGTTCATTCCGCTGAACAGGACCGATTGGTCGCGGCTTTTCATTTCCACCGACTCCCATGAGACATTAATTAACGCGAGATTTAAACGCCGCTTCCACGATGAACATTTGCAGGCGTCGTTCGATAAAAAGGTCAAGGAAATACCAACGAGATCGAGTCACATATAGAGTTACCTTATGCAATTGGCCTTTACTTCGGCAGCATTCGTATTTATAACCTCACTCGGTCGCATAGCCGATCTAAAACGTATTCCATGGAGGGAAGCGCGTTTCGAGATGCTGCTTTGTAGTAGCACGTGACCAAAACGAAAACAGGAAACCGGGACGTGCTCGAGACGTCAATGAATTTCAATGGAAGATACGTCCCAGCCTCGGTATTCCCTTTCGGACGTCCACACGCTCGATTCGCGTTATTAACGACACTAAACGACTCGTACCGCGACTTGTAACCGATCGGCGAACAATGTACCACGAAGAATAATTAAATTACAGTGGCAGCCGGACTTGCTGCACGTCAACCACGTTCGAAACTCGATCAATCACTCGCGATCGTAGCAAAGAAGAAATTCCGTCCGCCAAGGACCTTACCTCATAAAGTCGGTCCAAGATCCTTCTTCCTCGCAGCACCGTATCAACTCATCGTCACTCCACGTGTATTTCCGTTTCTCTGATCACTCGGAGAAAATGTTCATGGAAGAACGATCACGTATACACCGTACCTCATGACGCATCGGGGCACGAGTGTGGGCTAACGCGACTCGTATTCCTCTATCCTCTCGGTTTCATGAGTCGTCGTCGTCGTCGTTTCGAAAAAGAACCGATGTCTGCCAGCCAATGGACAGGTCTACACTGCATCCTAAGGAGGTATGCGGCCTCTGCTATGGGAGTGGAAGGAATGGAGAGAGAGAAACAGCTCGCCGAAGGAGAGACTACAGTCCGTGCCCGGTAACTGCGAGCGAAAGGGGGGCGAACCTTTTTGATTCTTTTGTGCCTCGACGTGCCAGGTGAGTCTCTTTCGTGGTTCCATCATGGCCGAGATCGTGCGTGAAGGATGCGGCGCGGAAGGATCGGCTGTAACGAATGGAAATTTTTATACAAGGTGACATCGTTTAGCGGGAAGAGGGAAAAATTTCCTGGGAAAATCTGCTAACCGAAGGGTTCGTATGAAAATAACGACTCTAGAGCAAATATTTCCTCGTCTGCGATTTCCTTTTACAAATCCGATAAATTATTCGCGTATTAAAACGTGGATCCGAGTTGTATTAAACAACGCGTCTCACTGGTCTCTCGTTATTAATTAAAAACTCATCGAAGAAGATCGTTTTCAACTCGAATTCTGCAATCGTGGAGAATATACTTTGGAAAGTAGAAGAAATAGGAATCGTTGGTAGAAAAATATATGGAACGAACCATGGCTGTTGAACATCTTATTGTAATATCGTTGGACACTTATCGTATACTCTCCACCTATTTAGGGTCCTTAAACCCGTACATTAATTTTGCAAGTCCATTAAAAAATCGTCACACGTATCGGCGCGCGATAGAAACCGTAACAGCGATAAATCGAGAAAATTGATCGCGTACCATTGCCCATTAAAGTTTCCAATTAATTTCATTCGCCGCTTTCACCGACAGCGGACAACTTCGGAACGAGTTCATCGAAGTGCCTCTTTGCGTAATTGCATAATCCCTTCCACCCTGTCTCAGCAAAAAGCCAAGTATGTAGCCTGGTCCGAGGGGAAAAAGAAAGCCGATTCGCGTTTAATTCTCTTAACGCGGCGTTTTTCACCGCTCGACATTAGAAAGTTCAAACGTCGGAACTAGAGGAAAGGATCAGTGGGATCAGCCTGTCACGAGGGATGGTAATCACCGCGTGATCCTCCGTTTCCCTCTGCTCCATCTCAGCGTCATTTTTGCCCGCGTGCTCGCCACCCTGCCCACTTTTCGAAACGCACGCAACCGATCTGGACGTGATCCTCATAGAGAAAGGAGAACAACGAGCAACGACGACGTAGCTCGGCGAGCGGGTACGTGTCACCTGGAATCATCGTGCACCAAGGTGTATCGACCTCGCGTTCACCCGGCTACTCCGCGTGGCTGGCTTCTTTTCCTCGTCTAATTCGCGCGTAATCGGTCCGCGTTTTGCCGGAACGAGCGGACGCGAGCTGCAACCTGGACGCGTCCACGCCGGAAGTGGCGGGCGACACACTTACGGAAGCCAGACCGGCCGCGTGCTTCCACGTAGAGGCTTCCTGGCATCCTGAGGGACGACGACGCGTGCACCCGCTCGATAATAACCGCGTAACCGGCAATTCAGCGCGAGCCGTTTATCGTCGTTTCGCGGCCAACGTCTCGCAGCGTACTCCTCCTCGATCGTCGATAAGGGCAAGACCGGTAAAACGAGGAAGACACGCGTTCCTGGAAGATTTCAGCCTCCGCGCTCGGATAATGAGGCCTGCGCCGCCGAGCTTCCCTCGCGAAACGGCGCAGCCCAATGATAAGCCAAATGGAAGCGGAGTGTAATTGCTCGGAGATAAAGCTAGTCGTAATTTTTCCGCTGCGGATGTGTATAAATAGGTGGAACGTAGTTCCAGGTGTCAGACGGACTCGCTGCTATGCGGAGGTTCCAGGGGATACGTATAAAGAAGCTTTAAGCTTCGACGTCGTTGATTTTATTTAGACCAGGGTGTCCAAACTTTTAGCTTCCCTGAGACACATTGAAAGAAGACGAGTTGCTTCCAGCCACGCAAAATATACCTAACGCTAACCATGGTTCATGAGCAAGAAAAGAAAAATTGTAAAATGTATAATTAATATATTTAAGTAACCTAGAATTTATTAATTTATAATTTCCTTTATCATGAAGACATCAACTGCAAATGGAATTAGTTTGACATTGTTTCGTTCATTCTTATTTACCATTTTGCGTATAAAATTGGAAATTGGCGAATTTAAATTTAGACACCCATCGTTTATATGGAGACAGGTTTAGAAAGAGAAAGGGATAATTACCAAATTTTTGAGCGTGTTTTAGGTTGTGAGATACGTGGGATGAAATTGAAAATGGGGACTACACGAGAGATAAAGGGGAAAAGACTTATTGGTTATTTATGTATAAGATGCTATCTCTTCATCCTGCTTTCAATCTTAATACGAGTATCTCAGGAAGTAAAGGGTATATCAAAATTCGCGAATGATTAATTTCTTTCATACTTTTTGTCAGACAGTGTCTGTATTGGCGGTTCGAATTAATCGCGTTTAGATGCCGCCGCGATTACCCGCAGCTATTTCTCAGAGCCATTGGAACGTGCAGGGGCTGTGGAGCGTAAAACTGTTATTCCTTCAAATTCATGCGTGTTTTCTTGGGTCATGCGATGTTCGCAAAAATGAAATCAATTAAGCTGCCGCGGAAGCGGAATCCGATTTCGCCTTGTATTTCCATTTGCTTTAGATGTTACTTTTACTTCGTGCGATAGGTGAGTTTACAGTAATACTGACAAAACACGACGTTCAACGGGTTATGAAATTTTTATGACTCCACGCGAAATGTAATGCAACTACGCTACTTTCAGTCGTTGATAAACTTCCACCGATTTTTGGGAGAAAGCTTCGGAAATATTTTTACTGCTTTCTGGAATAATAATTCTGGAATTTTGGAAAAATATTCTGGGACTTCGTACCAATATTTGGAAAAACAATTTGGGAATTTCAGACCGATTTTAACTTTTAAAAAATTGAGAATTTTTCACCCATAATTGGAAAACTATTCTGGAATTTTTCGCCGATAATTGGGAAAATATTCTGAAATTTTTTACCGATACTTGGAAAAGAAATTCATGAATTTCGGGCGGATTTTCATTAAATAATTCCTGATACAATATAGAATGAGACGTAAAGAATAGACTAGACTACGAGAACACTACCTTCGTGTCTCCGCTTCCAAATACACTCGAGCCCATCTTCAACAACTCTTCCATTACACCCCACGGTCATAGTTACGCGAACTGTGTCGAGGAAGAAAGAACCAGAGCTCGACGCAACACGATGCACCGCGTATGCACACCGTGGAGCGTGCACGCTCGTAACCGCACACGTGCGCGCGCGACAAGCGTGACCGCGCGCGGCGACGAGCGCATTCGCGCCCGCCTCGTTCCATCCCGCGGCTTTCTCATCCAGCCGGTTCAAAAGGTCCCGCGTCCAGGATACGCAGGCGAGCACGCAACGGGCGTAGGCTATAGAGGAGTTCGACCTCCGTGGGGCCGTGCAGCCATTCTTTTCCCCTCTGCCTTCCTTTTTCAGCCCCTCGCCGGCCGGCCGGGCTCCAAAGGACGCGGAAAAATGGGCACCCATGGGTGATCTCGCGAGAAGAACCGACGGGGAACGCGAGAAAGTGAGAGGAACTACGAAGGAACTCCCGAGAAGATGCGTGGACGAGATCTCGCCTCTGAACGTCCTCGTTTTTCAGTTTCTGCTGGAATCAACGATGCGATACAGGCTTAAACTCTGCGAGCCTATGTTCTGTACATCTGGAAACACTCGCGTGGGTTTTCCTCGAGGCTGAGGTCGTTGGTTCCGCAGGACCTTCCTATGGTCGCTTAGTCCAGTCCCGGGATCCAGGCAGAACAGTTAACGTCACATTGTCACGCCACATCCGTTTAGTTACACGCTATATAAATGCATACTGTTACTTTTTTATTATTGTTAGCACTGCATACGCGATTTCATATTATTTGTGCAACGTGCATGCTTGAATAAAGTGCTTACAGGATCTAAGCTGTGCTTACTAATAGTTTACGAGTTTGGGTGCGAGTCTTCGTTGAGTTACGTAGACACGAATGGAGAGGCGTGTCGGTGTATCAGAAGTGTCTGTATTGTACAGCACCGAGTGGATTTACTTATTTAATTTTTTGAAAATAATTCAACCTCCGAGAGAAAAATTATTTATCCGTTTACTTGTTCAATTCGCTTATGACGCAGGCGCAGATGTCCGCAGATGATGATTTGTGTACGCGTGTTACGGGAATTTTCTAGCAAAGAGAAGAGAAATTGAAGAATTATGTATAATATTATATTATATATGATATTACGGAATATTATCTGGATACATTTATAGTGCATGAGTAGGTACTCTTCTGGAAACCTCGAACAAAAAATGGCAGAAATTCCTTGGTATTAGGAATTATCTATATAATATATTATTATATACAGGAAATATAAAATATTATATATAATACTGTTCAAATATATTTATACCGCAGGACTACTCCTAGATACTTCTCAACTGAAATCTGAACTGAAAGAACTGAAGGTAACAACGAATTGGAAATAAAATTTCTCAAAATTTGGAAAAGCGTTAATTGCAATTTCCATTCCGATTTTCCTATTACCAAGTAAGAAATAGTCGTCTACAAAATCATACAAGGAATTTATAATTATAAAAAGCTATGAAACTTCCTTCCACGAACTGTAGATACCTGTACCAAAATGATAATGTTCCACGACTTGTTTTCGAGTTGCTAGGAATCGCTACAATTTAAGATCGGCTGTTCGAACAAGGATTCGCGACTGGTGTAAAGGTCGTGCAAACAGGATAGCGAGAAGTAGCGAGAAGGAGGCCGTGCATGGTGAAGAGAGAGGAGACCGAGGTGGCTGAAGAAGGACGTTGCTGGAAAGACGAGAAGGGGACGTGTACAGTTACCAAAGGCCGAGGCGAACAGCTCTACCACTGACGATAAAGTATCGACTTCGAAAAGTCGGACAGACTGTTTCCCCTCTTTTGGTGCAACGATTTTCATCGCTTCCGGCGATCGACGATGATTTTCGACGAAAGACGCCGGTT